CAAGGTTGTAGGTTTGAGCCCCACATTGGGTATAGAGATTAGTTAAAAAATAAACTCTTGGGGCGCCTGGGTGGCTCAGTGGGTTAAGCATCTGACTTCGGCTCAGGTCATGATCTCAGGGTCTTGGGATGGAGCCCCGCGTCGGGCTCCCTGCTCAGTGGGGAGTCTGCTTCTCCCCCTGCCACTGTCCCGCCACCCCTCCACCTGCTCGTGTGCTCTCTCTCTCTTTCTCTCTAAAATAAATGAGAGCTTAAAAATAAATAAACAAAATCTTGTAAAAAAAAAGAATAAAATACCTATGGATAAATTTAACCAAGAAGATGAAAGACCTGCATATTGAAAACTACAAAACATTAATGAAAGAAACTGAAGAAGACACAAATAAAAGATATTTCATGCCCATGGTTTGAACAAACTAATACTGTTAAAATGTCCATATTGCCCAAGACAGTCTACAGATTCAATGCAATCCCTATCAAAATTCCAATGGTATTTTTCACAGAAATAGAACAAGCAATCCTAAAATTTGTATGGAACCATAGAAGATCCTCAAGAGCCAAAGCAATCTTGAGAAGGAACGAAGCTGGAGACATCATACTCCTTGATTTCAGACTATTTTACAAAGTTAGAGTAATTAAAACATTATGGTACTGGCATAAAAACAGATGCATAGATGAATGGAACAGAACAGAGAGCTCAGAAATAAACCCACGCATGTATGGTCAATTAATTTACAACTGAGTAGGCAAGAATATGCCTACTTCAATAAATGGTGTCGGGAAAACAGGACGGCTACATGCACAAGTATGAAACTGGACACTGCCTTATACCACACACAAAAACTAACTCGCAATGGATGATAGACTCAAATGTAAGATCTGAAACCATGAAACTCCTAGAAGAAGTTCCTTGACATCAGTCTTGGTGATGATTGTTTGAATAGGACACCAAAAGCAACAGAACAAAAGCAAAAATAAACAAGTAGTACGACATCAAACTAAAAATCTGCACAACAAAGGAAACAATCCATAAAATGAAAAGGCAACCTACTGAATGAGAGAACGTAATTGCAAATCATGTATCTGCAAGGGGCTTGTGCCCAGAGCTCACACAGCTCAACAATGAAAAGACAGAGAAGCTGATTACACCATGGGCAGAGGACCTCAACAGATACTTTTCCCAAGAAGACACACAGACGGCCAACAGACACATGAAAAGATGCTCCACATCACTCATCATTAGGGAAATGCAAATCAAAACCACAATGAGATACCACCTCACAATGGTGAGAATGGCTAAAATTAACAACACACGAAAGGGAAGATGACGGCGAGGATTTGGAGAAAGGGGAACCCTCTTATACGGCTGGTGCGAATGCGAGCTGGTGCAGCCACTCTGGAAAACAGTGTGGAGGTTCCTCCGAAAGTTAAAAATAGAACTACCCTAGAACCTGCAATTGCACTACTAGATATTTATCTGAAGAAGACAAAAATACTAATTCGAAAAGATACACGCACCCTTCATTTCAACATTACTCACAACAGCCAAGATATGGAAACAATTTGTGTCCACCAATGGATGAATGGGTACAGAAAAACGTGGTGTGTGTGTGTGTGTGTAAGTAATGGAGTATTACTCAGCCATAAAAAGAATGAAATCTTACCATTTGCAATGATGTGGATGGATGTTAAGGGCGTTACACTCAGTGAGATAAGGCAGAGAATGACAGACGCCATGTGGTCTCTTACATGTGGACGCGGGCTCCAACAACAGCAACAACAGAGCCAAACTTGTGGATACGGAGAACAGGTTGGTGGCTGCAAAAGATGGGGGTAGAGAGTGGGAGAAATGGGTCAACTGTCTTGTTTTGCTTAAATAAGTTGAATTTAAAAACACACATGTACTGGATCATTGTTTTGAAAACTAGAAATTCTGGCAAAAGAGAATGTTTAAAAGACATAAATCCTAAATAAAGGGAGAGAAGAGTATTGTGTTCATGGACTAGAAGGCTGAAACTTGTGAAGATGTCAATTCTCCCCAAAATGATCACAGAATTTTCAAGAGAATGTTTTGTAGCCAGAGAGGGGCCGGCACAGAGGAACTGGAGGAGCTAAACGACTTTTAGAAAGAATGAAGCGGGGTGGGTGGGAGGCTCACACAGGCGGCAGCGGTCAGCACAGATGCAGGGGAGGTGGACACAGAAGGGCCCAGAGATAGGCCCACACGAGTGGCCATCATGCCCAGGTGCACGAGAGTTCATACAGAAAGGATAGCCTTTTCACCAACGGTGCTGCGTGAGAAGTGAGCCTTGACCTAAGCCGCGCATCTCACCAAAGATCAAATGGACCGTAGCTCTAAACACACATCATGGAACTACAGCTTTTAGGAAAAAGGAATCTTCAAGACCTGGTGTTAGGAGAAAAGTTCCCAGCAATGACGTGAAAAGTGCCGTCCACAGGAGAACATACACTGGATTTCAGCAGGAATTTAAAATTTTGCTCTGTGAAATGCATCATTAACAAAATGAAAAGACAAGCTACAGACCTGGAGAAAAAATTTGCAAACCACATACATGACAGAGGGATAGATCTAGAATATATAAAGAACTTTTGGTATCTAAATGTGGTGTCTCTTCCAATCAGATGGCGGCCCCCAAATGTGGGGCCACCCGATGGGGCGGAAGCCAGTGGAGCTTCCGGTGGAGGGGAAAGAATTCACTCGAGCAGAACAAAGGAGATAAGAGTTTCTTGTATCCACGGCCAGGGGGCCGTGGGCAGGACCACAGAGGAGAGCCTGTGTGCCACGGGGCCGTGGCTGAGGGCTGTCTTTAAAGAGGGAGGCCAAGGAGGTAGGCCACGTATGGGATTTTCCCTTGTTTGGTAACTGTGCCTGGTTGTAAGTAGCCCATTGGTCAGCAGATATTTTGGCCATTTTGAGGTGGGTCTCCTGATGGGCTTGTCTGTGTTCAGCCAGGGGGTGGCTCAGCCTGTTTGCCTGAACACCGCTTCTACAGAACTCCCTAAACTTACCAGGAAGAAATTGAACAATCCAATTTTTTAAAATGGGCAAAATGTGACACTTCATCAGGGAGAATATATGTGTGCAAATCAGCGCGTGTAAAGGTGTCCAGCACCTCGGCCATGCGTGCAAGTTAAAACCATAATGTGGTTTCACTGTGCACCCATCAGATTGGCTAAAATTAAAAATCATGACATCAAAGGCCGGGGATGCTGCAGAGAAGCCGGACCTCACTCCAGAAACAGGCGGTTGAAATCCAGTTACACATGACTTGGCCACGTGCTCAGCAGTGTGTCCCTGGGTGAGTCGGGCACCAAGGTCCTCAGCGGCTCCTCGGAGCCCGAGCGGAAAGTCCCCGGATGCCTTCGACAGGGGCAGGCCACGCAAACTGCGGCCTGTCCAGACGGTCTGACTCAGGCCCAGGGGAGGGACTGGGCGTCTGTGGTGGCTGCTGGGCCTCGCGCTTCGCCCTGCATGGAGGAAGCCAGGCTCCACTTATTCCCGTAGCCTTCTCCCAGAGGCCATTGGCGGTGGAGCTGGTGGGGGCAGGGCACGACCCCAGGGGGCACAGGAGGGGTGCAGGGTGATTCTGACTGTGGGGGTGTTCCTGTGAGTTTACACATGTGCACAAAAACGGGGCAATTTCATTGTACGCTCGAAACAACCAAACACAGCTGCACTAAGGAGCTGAACTCACCCTCCTCCCTGGACCACAGGCTAGTCGGGCCTCCTCCGGCCTTTGCTCGAGCCAAGGCCTGGGTCACCAGACTCCGACCTGCCCGGAACCTGAGCCCGGCACCTGGCTTCCCGCTGGGGGAGCGTGGGGTTGGAGCGCAAAGTCTGCTTAGCCTCCAGGGAGTGGTGGGGGCCCACCTGGGCGGTCACTGAGTGGGGCAGGTGGGGCAGGGGCAACCCCAGGCCGCAGGTGAGGGGATGACCCTGGGTGGTGGTGGGGTGGGTAGAGTGTGATCCTAGGTAGTGGGGGATGACCCCCCGGCAGAGGCCTGAGCTCAACCCCCCTAAACCTCTGTTGGCCAGTCTGTGAACTAGGGGTGGGCAGTACCAGCTCACAGGGGATCCTTTTCCCAGGCTCTGTCACCTGTCTGGTGAGGTCCAGGCGGAGGTGGGTGGTGACTAGCTGAGGGAGAGGCAGGAAAGCACCTGCCAGGTGCCTGAGGGACCGCAGTCCAGCTTTCTCCTTGTTGCAGCCGGCTATCCAGCACCCAGGTGAGGGGCGTCTCCTAGTCTGAGG